ACATCTACTCTTTCCTATTTCCTACTTACAAGGTAGGTTTACGCCAGACCGCGTCTTTTCGTAACAGGCTTCGCGATGTTTCGCTGCCTGTTCCTCCAATCCGCGCCTGGCGTACCTACCTTGGCCTGCGGCGCTAGCCTGCCTTCGGCAGGCAATGGCTTGTCCATCGTCGGTTACTTCTAACTTGTTGCATGCTGGGGGGCTCCGACCCCAGACCTCCCTTCATTCTAGGTAGAGTTGCTTCATCTACAGTGACCCTTGTAACCTTTGAACTTATCGAGGATGGGGGGCTCTGCCCTCAGACCCCCCCCCCCTCCCCCTTCTTCAAGGCAAAAGGCATCCTACCTGCAGAAAACTCGATTTTTCGCCGTTTTTAGGTGCTTTTCGGCTATAAAAACTGAACCAGTTGAGCTACGATGGTGAGATTTCGCGTGTGCCGAGCCAAGGACATGCCTAAAGAGTGTGCAAAATCTCACCGAGATCGGCCGAGCCGTTCAGGAGGAGTAGTGCGGACAGACACACACACACACACACAGAAAAAACTTTTCAACCCCACTGGAGTAACAGGCTTCGCTATCGCTCAGCCAATCAGCCTGGTGAAAAAACGAATCTGAAACAAACAGAAATTTTGTGTTGAGATTATTGTAATAGTAAGGGAAACATTTGAGAGACTGATAATGAACTGTCAGAAATTTCTGTGAACAAATGGGAAAAATCGTGAAGTTTTTCCGAAACTTCTGCATGGAGCTCTCCATAAAGGCAAACTCTGGGCTTTCTCCGAAACGTTTCGGAATTTTGAACAAAAATGCATGTTTTACTATCAGGAAATCACAAAAAAATCTCATTCAACGAACGTTAATGAAAGCAGATGATACTCGTTTGGTTTTCTTCTACGGGGTAGTATGGGCTCATTCCAAAGATAACTTTTAAAAACTGAGTCTTTTGTGCCGTGGCCTGCACCGCCGCGCCATGAGACTAGGGCTTGCCGCGCCGTGCCCGTTGGCCCCCTCTGCGCTGTAGCGGGAAGGGATTGTCAATGCTGCGCGCAGGCCGTCGCGCGCGAGGAGGGGGTGCCATTGTCGAATTCCGCGCAGGCTGCGCCGCAGCGACAGACTCATCAGCCCGCCCCGGCAGCCAGCCCCTATTATATTGTTAGGATACGCACTTGGTTTTTGGACTCTCGAGTGAAAGCTAGCTGACACCTTTATGTGTCCTGTAGTTGTAGTTTTAGGTATGTTTTTGTAAAGGTATCATCTGCTAAAAAGTTTGCAACTAATTAACAAGGTAGGTGTACGCCAGACCGTGTCTTGTTGTAACAGTCTTCGCGATGCTGCGCCAGTTTCGACAATCCACGCCTGGCGTTTGCACCTATTTTGACCTGCGGCGCTACCCTGCCTTCGGCAGGCCATGGCTTGCCCATCGTCGGTAACTTCTAAATTGTTGCATGCTGGGGGGCTCCGCCCCTCAGACCCCCTTTCATTCCAGATAGAGTTGCTTCATCTACAGATAACACGATCTTGACCGTCGTTACTTTTCAACTTGACGGGGCTGGGGGGCTCCGTCTTCAAGGCAGAAGGCATTTGCCTCGAGGGGTGAATCACTCAGCGTTCTGGTGTACACATGAGTACATGAGTACGGATGAGTACACCCTCTAATACACACAAATTTCACATTTTAAATCGTTTTTTGGCTTTATCTACCCGTTTAGACTACACACTACGCCAAATCGTGCAAGAAATGAACGAATTTTGCTCTTTTCAAACTTGTGAGTACACTGAGCACGGGCCACTTTGTACACATGAGTACACGAGTGATTCACCCCTCGATTTGCCTGCAGAAAACACTATTTTTCGCAGTTTTTTAGGTGTTTTTCGGCTATAAAAACTGAACTAATTGAGCTAGGGTAGTGAAATCTCGCGTGTGCCGAGCCAAGGACATATCAAAAAAGTGTGCAAAATCTCAGCCAGATCGGCCGAGCCGTTCAGGAGGAGTAGTGCTGACAGACAGACAGACACACAGACAAAACTTCTCAACCCCATCTGAGTAACGGGCTTCGCTATCGCTCAGCCAAAAAATGAGGGAAAGGTGAACCCCTATTTGTTCAACTCAGTTTTCATAATAATAAGGGAAACCTACAGGATATAACTCAAAAGAGCCCGAAGGAGATTGTCCCTTGTTTGGCAATTTCAGACTAAAGAATGCTTCGGCGAAGCCCTCTTTAATATATCTTAGAAAAGACATGCATTTTACCTCCCATGAGGACCCAAGTAATGCTCCGAACAACATTTGTTCAAGCCCTGAGAAAATATCTCTGAAAAAAGATGGAAAATGAATGAGGTCTCCATGAACGTGATTATAGAGTTTTTCTCCATAAAATTTCGGAGCTAATTTCTAACAGTGTGAGCTCCATATTGATGCCACATGGAGGAGAAGCAACAACAGTTTACAGATCATATCAAATACTTACGACGCCAGAGGATTGCTCAACCTCCATGAGTCGTTCCGGCCCCTGCCTCCTGTCCGGGCCCCAATTCAGCTGGATTTCATCCTCGTCTTGAGGGAATGGTGGATCCTCCTGCGGTGGAGCCGACGGGGCATGTGAAGCAGCAGCTTCATTGATCGTGGCCATCCTTGCCACCACCGTCTTGACTATCTCCTCCTTCTCTGCTTCTCTCCTCTGCGCTCCCTCTTCTTCCTCCATCTTCTTCCGCTTCCTCTCCTCCTCCAACTCGACCTCCCTCTTCCTCTTTCGCTCCACTTCCTTCAACTCTCCCAACTCCTTCCTGATCTCCGCCATCTCCCTCTTCATTGCATTCATCTCCCCACGATGCTCCCCCAACTTCTTCCAAGTGGCATCCATGTGTAACTCACAACGGCAGGAGCAGTAGCTCGAACTGCTCGCACTTGCACTCGCCCGGCGGCGCTCTTCCTGGCCAGGACGCGAGCGTCTCGATCCTCCTGATCCTCCTGAAGACATGTCGATGTTGATTTGGCTGCAACAGAAAAACAATGGAGCTTTTGATTTTTTCCTTTACTGCTATGAATCGAGTAAAATAATTTGGTGTAATGATGCAAACCATCCTGAGGCACAATGATCAAATAAAAACTCAATGTGGAGATAAATCAAGTTATTCCCTTCTTCCGCTTCATGGATCAAATATTTCTCACTCTTTTCGGGTAAGAATCAAAATTCTTACCACATTTTGGGGTGAATTGTTCTACCTCCCATGCTCCATCGTGCACGTTGGGTTAAGGTATGCCCATTTGTCGTAGGTTTTGCTCCAAAGGTTGCGAATGAAATCGTTTTTCATAAGTTGTTAGTTAAGTTCGGGACAGTTCTGATTCACATTACCATGTTCCATAAAGTGTTTATGATCCCCTTTTGGGGTTTCAAAGCTATTTTGATCCCGACGAAAATTTACATATATAAATACTTCAGGCCTGGGAGTAAAGCTTCCATGACGGGCCCCTCGCCGCCGGGGAATTCAGCGGCACCTCGCGAGGAAGGCGGCGGCATGCTTTGGGCCGACGGGACTGTGGTCGACTTTGGATCGGGCCGTGGTTGCAGAGAAACCGGGGTCGACTATCCCTCGTGCTCGCCTCTCGTAATGCGTTTCCCTCCTTCCTCCATCTTGATCCGCTAACCTTCCTCCTCCAAGACCTTTTCCCTTTGCTATTCCTTCAACTAATTGGTCTGCCATTGGCCTCTTCATTGCATTCATCTCTCCACCTTGTTTTTCCAAGATCCATGTTTATTTCCAAAGGAATTTTCGTATTCTCGAACTCTGCACTTGCACGGGGGGTTTCCTGGCCAAAGCGCTATTTTCCCTCCTAAATATGTCGATTTTAAAATTTGGTAAAAAAAATGAGCTTATCGATTTTTTTTTTCATGATGGTTAAGAATTTGTTATGATGAATCCATCCTGAGCCAATGTTTCTCCAATGTGGATAACTAAAAAATTTTTCTTCTTCCCCCGGCATACTATTTTTGGGGTAAAATCTTAAATTCTTCCCACTTTTGGTGAATTTTTAAAAATCCCATGCCCATCTCAAAAGGGGTTAATTCCCCATTTTTATTTTCCCCAAAGTTTCTAAATCGTTTTTCATAAAATTGATTAAGTTGGGACATAATATTACAAATTTTAGTGCACTTTTTCCAGCTTAAAAAAAGCTAATAATTAATAATATAATGGAAGTTTTGAGCTATGCATGCCGGAATCTTTTGAAAATGAGTCGAAGAAGTGAAAAATGTCAAGGTCAACCTTTTACGACAAAATAGTATGCGCAAGGAGATTTTTTAAG